TTATATATATATATATATATATATATATATATATGAATGTCAGTGTTTGTGTGTGTATGTTTATCTTTATCTCCTATGTATTATAATCTGATTGTCCGTAAGTTTAAGACCACATCCACAAACTTTAAAAATAAAACGGAAATGAAAGGGAAAGAGAAAATATATATATACATTATTATCAAATGACCGAATATTGTAGCGTCCTTGTCGAACATAATTTCAATGAAGAAATGAATTGAATAAACATATATATTTTTTCTTTCTCAATAATTTTGTAGTTTTAACTTAATAGTGATTAAATTTGATTTTAAAATTACCAATTTTTAATTTTAATATTAAATTTTATCATATATTTTATAAATTTAGGATTTAAAGATCTGAATAGCTATTATAGCAGGATTTCTTGTTTTCAAGCTTTTTGAATCTTTCTATACTTTTTTTGATTGTTTTCTAGCGAACAATTTTAGGATCGTAATTAATCTGAAACCTTCTTTATTTTATTTTCAACATCATCACTTGAGAAGACACAGAATGTTTTGAAACAAAATGGTTATTTTTGTAGTGATCTTATAACATTTTGTTATAATTTTTATAAAAAATAATTATATCTGCTTACTTTGTATTGAGCATAAGAATAGTAATTGATTGAATTCATTCTTTAATACCAATTATATACTTTGAATAATTATATATATTATATGAATGTCAGTGAAAGAGTCCGTAGGCGAAATAGCGCCAACCATGAAATTTGGGATTCCCAAAAATAATTTTTCATGTTTTTAGTTGATTCTTCGAAATTTTTTTGAACGACGTGCGTATAAGTTGTCTTTAAATTAAAATGCGAAATCAGACGAAAGAATAAATCGTTTGAACTCTTAAAGGCAAGGTTAAATATTCATGCAATTCTTAAATGCAACAAACAATTTTGAGTGCTTCTATAGTTTATTGTAACCTACCTCATATGGCAGCAGTATGTCTCACAAAAGGAAACCTCCGCCAATTAGATAGCAATCAAAAGAGCCAATGCTACAGGGAGGAAAAGAAATTTCCGTGCAAATGAAAACCCAGATCAAATGGCAGTCAGGAGAGCTTCTAATGTTGAGAATATGCAAAGATTTAGAGACTCTCAAACTCCTGAAAAAGCCGAAGGCCCAATCAAGAGCCCTCAGCAGGAACTAGCTTAAATGCCACCCGACCGATATGGTGTGTGTTTATATGTATCTGTATGTGTGCGTGTATTAATACACAGAATTAACTGTTGAATGAATGAGTATATTAAAATGGCACCCCAGAAAAAGTGCACTTTTACGGCGCGCCATTTTAGTATACTCCAGCTCTTACTTATGTGTGTTAATACATATATGCTTTATTTTTTGAAGCATTTTACACCAAGCAAAACGGGAGTGCTATTAGCACGCAAGAGGTTACAGAGAGTGAGTGCAAAAGTAAATGAAGGTGGGTGAGAAAATGATATAGAGAAGACAATCAGGGAATCAGAAGACGCCGATTGACATTACATTTGAATATTTGAAGATTGTAGCTATCAGGGAAGCAAGTAGGATGAATGGCGTTCTACTGTCAGTAAGTAGGAGAGAAGAAGCCGTTGGATAAGAAAAAGCGGTTCTATTTAACTGTTTCGCCAGTGAAAGGGAGGGACCGAGATGACAACTTAGTAGCACGCTTAAATTCATGCCGTTGGGTCACTGGTAAAAGTAGCTCGTCGGAGCAGTTGCCATAAAAATATTTGTAGAAAAGGCAGAGAGAATCAACATCACGTCTGTGAGAAAGCGACCGTAGACAAGATGCCAGATCAGGACCTATCACATTGCATATCTGTCTCTGGATTTTGTCGAGGACCTTAAGATGAACAGCGAGGGCACCAGACGATATATAGCAACAGTATTCAATGCAAGGGCAAATGGTAGAATTGTAGACTTGAAGGATGGACTCAGGCGAGAAAAACCTTCTAGCGCGACATCCAGAACAAACTTTCCTTTTTTACTTTTTGTTTTATGCTTCTTTTGCCAAGATGCAATTGTTTTTTGGGTCACTGAGCACATTTATCCTAGTATTTTGGAAATTTTTATTTATTTGTCTATATTTCTGAGATGAGGTATTATGTACATTATTTACATTATTCGGAATATTGTCCTCATTTTTGTCGCCATATTTATTAAAACGTTTCGGCCGTTGTACGCTCCGGCCTTCTTCAGGTGGTTGGAATGCCGAACTGAACCCTATATTTCGCTCACTGGGGTAGACTGTTCTATTTCTACGAGCCACGTTTAATGGATGCCAGCTATTAGTTATCTCCTGTTAATTTCCCTCTGAAAGTTCTCCACTGCCTTAACCGGGTATTGAACTCACACTCTTTGTGTCCTGTCACTGGATCTAACTAACAGTCTAGCCCAGTGAGCGAAATAAAAAGTTCGGTTCAACATTCCAACTACCTGAAGAAGGCCGGAGTGTACAAATGCCGAAACGTTGTAATAAATATGGCAACAAAAATGATGACAATAGTCCGAATAATGTAAATAATGTTTTATTTTTTTTTCTGTCCAAATATCGGTGATTCCACACCCATTGCCCCCCCCACCAACTTTAGTGGTTGAATATATTGTATGTATTCAACAGCTCCTAATAAGTTCTATACTAACAGATTCTTCTCTCACGATTCTCGCTTGTGGAACTATCTTCCTGCTTCTTGAATATCTGTCAACTTTGATCTGCGAAAAAAATAAATACAATAACAACCTTTATCTTCTGTTTTGTTAATTCCTTTTTTTTTATTGTGCTCTCCCCTTAAGAATATATTTCTTTTTCTCCTGTTCTTTCACACTCAGTAATCATTTGTGTCTTAGCGGCATTATTGCTGTGCTTGTTTACTAAAATAGTCCATATCTATCAACTCATGCAAATGCATTTAATAACACACAGAATTAAAAAAAAAAACTGTATAAACTGTTACGTAAGACATATTTATTTGGGAAATCTATTCGAATAATTCAGAGATTATATTTGAAGCAGACCGCCTGCATAAACACAGAAAATCCATTCAGTAAACATATACTAATAATAAAGGGCATCAGACAAGGATGTTTCTTCTTATCGGACTTAGTCAAACTTCTGAGAGAATTAGGAGTCCTTCCAGGATTTATTATTGGCAGCCAGAATCTTAAAATAAGATATGCAGATAACACTTACAGAAGGAAATCTACAGAAGCCCATGGACAACAATCTCCTCAAAGATGAAGAACATTTCTGAAGCAACAGAAATTTGCTTTTACAGAAGGATGTTGAAGATAAAATGGCCCGAACATTTAAATGTTTTAACAGAGGACGGAAAATGCGATACTGAAACCTTACGGTTCATTGGGATAGCGAAAGGTGTCTTCCAAAACCTAAGCAAAGTATGAAGAAACAAGAGAATCCCATTAGAAACAAAGAAAAGAGTATTGAACAGAAGGTTCATTGGGATAGCGAAGGTGCCTTCCAAAGCCTAAGCAAAGCATTAAGAAACAGGAAATTCCCGTTAGAAACGAAGCAAAGAATACTGAACTCTTCTGTAATAAAAGTCTTCCTTTATATAACAGTGAATGCTCGACAAACTTGTCACAAATGAAGTAGAGACTTGAAGCAACAGAAATGTGACTCTACTGAAAGATTCTGAGAATAACATGGACCAAATATGTGAACAACGACAAAGTTTTAGAGAAAATGGAAATAAAAAGGAAATTTATAATTGACATCAGGAATTGACAGTTTCTAGGGCACATAATAAGGAAAGAAGGCTTGGAAAATCTGATATTCACAGGACAGACTGAAAGCAAGAGTGACAAAGGAAATGTATAACATGCTTAGTGAATTTTGGTGAATAGTAGTGGGACAGGGTTTCGGAGAAATAAACCCAATGAACAAAATGCTGTGATAAAAAAAAAAAAAATTGCTAGTCCAGCTAAGAAAATTGATTCACTGTATTGAGCTAGACAATTTTTATTACCAGAATCTATCAAATATCCCTATTCGCACATGATTAGAATTTTGCCATTCGCCCTTGTTTATAATGTTGATGTCACATACGGTCTGGTGCCCCTGATATATATTTAGAGATTCTTGATAAAACCCAATGAAGAATAAGTAATATTATTGATCTTGGCTTACCATCTCAGCTTCAGTCTCTTTCCCACCGGCGTAATATAGTTTCCCTCTGACTTTTCTATAAATACTTTCATGCTAATTGATCGGATGGACTCTTCGGTATGGTACCTAAACTTTATGAATTTAAACGTAATACTAGATTACAGATTATTTCTTTTTATATGTATAAAATAGTTTTTTCAGTACAATATGCTACTTGTGTCCATCTTAGATATTTATGAGTCCATACCTTGAATATTGTTGTCACATATGGTCTGGTGCTCCTTCTATATATTTAGAGATTCTTAATAAAATCAAAAGGAGAATCAGCAATATTATTGGTCCTGACCTGGAGTTTCGACTTCAGTCAATTTCCCAGCTTCGTAATGTAGCTTCCCTGTGCCTTTTCTATAAATACTTTCATGGTAATAGATCGGATGAAGTCTTCGCTATGGTACCTAAACTTTATGAATTTAAGCGCAGTACTAGATTGGCGGCTAGGTTTCATCAATTGATAGTTAAATTGGCCAGTTGTAACCGTAAGTTCTATGTTAACAGTTTCTTCTCTCGCACTTCTCACTTGTGGAACTATCTTCCGGCTCCATGCTTTCAAGCCAACTTTGATCTTCAAAAATTTAAATGCAATGTCAATCGTTACCCACTGGCTTCTTGATTACTTTTCTATTTTTCACGCTACTTAATAATGTTCCTCTTTTTTCTTATTCTTTCACACTCAGTAACCCCTTTAGTGGCTATACTGCCATCTATGAACTGAATTGTCAAAAAATATACGTGTGCGTGTGTGTTTGTACGCATGTATGTGTGTGTGTGTGTGTGTAAATATTTACCTACGATATTATGAGATGGGGCTGAAAAGTTCTCGGCCCGAAACACTTGAATTAAAACTTTCGTTGTAAGAGAACCTTTCCTCACTTACTCGTATATACACGTTTCAACATCCACGAATCATCAGTTTAATAAGGAAACAAAATCATTTATTTTACATACCATATATTTATTTTTCAACATAATATCCTACTTTCTTAGTCCATTTAATTCAATAGGGAATATTAGATATTGAGTAAGTTCTGCTCATAACCCCGCATTAGGCTAGAAACATATTGATCTATATTCCTGTCTCCTTCAAGTGTTTTCATCAGAGTTTTCACTCGATTGTCTTATTTTTTAAATTTTGTTCTTTATCACACATTTTCCTTTTTCTTCTATTTTTTTCTGTTTTCCTCCGACAATCAGTTAATTATTTTTCTTACACTTTCATTAGTTTTCTTCTTCTTCTTCTTCTTCTTCTTCTTCTTCTTCTTCTTCTTCTTCTTCTTCCTCCTTCTCCTCCTCCTCCTCCTCCTCCTCTTCTCCGTTCTCCTCCTCTTCTTTTTTATGCCTTTTCTTTTTTTCTTCCACTACTACTACTACAACTATAACTACTCTAGGCGCCATCTTGTTTAAATAATTTCATTTCTTTTAAATGTATATATTTTTGTACGCAAAACAACTTTTTTAAAGGTGGTGATTTTTCTTTATTTGTATAATGTCTGTTCTAATTTACTGAGTCCTTTTTTTTTCTTGCTCTTTTCCTCCTAACGAACGTTCAAACAGAAACAACGACGCTTAGGTTGAATATAACAACTAATTAAGTGTAAACACAAGGCGCTATAAATATCTTTCTCAGAGAAAACCAATATCACAATACTTACTTATTTATCGTTTTTTTTTTACATCATTTTCAAAATTTCAATCTGAATTTCTGAAACGCTAATAATAGAATTTTTTTAAATGTCACTTTATCACGTATAAACGAACGCTCACATAAATACAAACATGGAACCTACCTACACTTACACAAAATGCGGCTTGTCTTGAAAAACAGATACTTAGCAGGCCATAAATTGAAAATGACCTAAAATAATGTTACGCAGCATATGACAGTTTTAAGATTCACATTATTCTCTCCGTGCTAAGAAGAATAATTTTTCATCATTTCACCCCAAACAAGGCGATAAAGCCAGTAAAACCCAAGTGGTTACTGAGGATGAAAGAAACAATGAGAGCTATGGTAAGGTTTTTGGTTTGGGCTTGATTTGGTTTGTTTTACGGGATATCAACCTCAATGGGTTATTTAATGCCGACAAGATTCTTATTGCTGGTAATTTTTTTCCAAAAAGTATTTTTGCTAATATTTTTTCTAAAAATGTATTGCTCGAATTTTTTTTTTCAAAAATGTATTGCTGGTAATAATTTTTCTTCAAAAAGTTATTGCTGGTAATATTTTTTTTTACAAAAATGTATTGCTGGTATTAAAACGTATTTTTAAACTTTCATAGTGTTTTGAAACCAGTTTGGGGTTTAACTATTTGCCCATAGCTGGAGATCTAACAGGTGCTACCACTCCGGGTCAGGATGGACCTGGGAATACAAGCAATTAAGAGGTGGTTCCACGCTCCTCAAAACTTCCTGATCAGAGGCCTTGCTATTGGATGTAGTTTATCGTCATAGGACGCGGATGTGGTTTATCGTCTTACCCAGGACGTGGATGTAGATTATCGTCTTACCCAAAACGCAGTAATTTTAGAGAATCTTATCACAGCTGAAGAAGACTTGAGACAACAGAAATGTCATTAAACAGAAGGCTTCTGAGAATATAATGGACTAAACATCCGGGCAGTTTTAGAGAAAATTGAAACAAAAAGAACATACTTAGCTTCAGGAAAAGTCTGTTGAGATTTCTAGGGCATTTAGTGAGGAAAGTGGGCTTTATTAAGGCGATAGAGGACAATACACAAAGAGTATTTGCGACTGACGTTGTATTTCAATATTTAAAAATCGTAGTTGATAGGAAATTAAAAAGGAGCGAAGAGAGTTCTACAAGCGAGAAGTACTAGTGAAGAACCTATTAGCATAGAACTTACGTTTACATCTAACAAGCTTAACAGTGAAATTATGGGACCTAATTGCCAACTGAGTATCAATCCGGTACTATCATATGGTGTTATCAGTGGTTTGAATAAAAAGGTTGTGGAACATTGACACAGCTACATTCTTTGGTTCCATCCCGCAAACATCCAAAGCCACGTACAGAGGTTTGTCTGATCTTGATTCCCTTCATATTCCATTTGTAAGGAATAAGTTCCACTCAGCTTCTTCTCCAGTGCTCTCCCTTTGCGGGACAGAATCTCAAAAGACTACTTATTTGATCATTATAACCGTAACCTCTTTAAATATAAAGTCAACCGTTATTTATCCTACACATCCTTTCGTTGTACGCCATAAGAGAAGCCCCAGTTAGTAAATCTTCATTAAGTCACCTACTTACTGTTAATGGTTTATTTTCATGCTTGCGCAACAGCCATGTGTGTCAATTACAATTTGAAGATACCGAAACCAAACAAGTAAAAACATTTAAGCATCTAGTAAGAGTATTAACAGAAGACGGAAAGTGCGACACTGCAAATGCGAAGGCTGATTGAAATAGCGAAAGATATCTTCTAAAAGCTAAGCAAAGTATTAACAAACAAGAAAAATTCGTTAGATAAAAAGAAGAGAGTACTAAACTGTTACGTAATATCACCCAGTGTATGCTGGACAAGAACCTCACGGATGAAGAAGAGATACGATTGGTTTGGTTTGCTTTGTTTTACGGCATATCAATCTCAATGGATTATTTAATGCCGACTACATTTTTATTGTTCGTTATAAGTTTTTCCAAAATCTATCTAGTAATATTTTTTCATTCAAAATATCGAATTTTGGTAATATTTTTTTTCTACAACAAATGTATTTCTGGTAAATTTTTTTCTTCAAAAATCTGTTTCTGGTAATAATTTTCTTTTAAATATGTATCTCTGGTAATATTTTTTTTCTTTTTTTTCAAAAAATGTATAGCTGGTAATATTTTTTTTCAAAAAATGAATAGCTGGTAATATTTTTTTTAAAAATGTATGGCTGGTAATAATTTTTTACAAAGTATTTCTAGTATTAAAACCGATTTTTAGACTGTCATAGTGTTTTGACCCCAGTTTAGGGTGGGGGTAATTATTTGCCCATAGATGGCTCCCTAATAGGTGCTACTGGTCGGGTCAGAGAAGACCTGCAAACATGATCAATTAAGAGGTGGTTCCACGCTCCTCAAAGCCTCGTGATCAGAGGCCTTGTTGTTGGACGTAGTTTATCGTCTTACCCAGGACGAGGATGTAGTTTATCTTCATACCCAGGACGGAAAGAAGAGAGATGAAGTAACAGAAATGTGGCTTTTAAATGATACTGAGAATACCATGGACCGAACATGTGAGCAATGATAAAGTTTTAGAAACTTCATAGCTGAAATTTCTCGGCCCAATAATTAGAAATGAGGGCTTGTAAACTTTGATACTCACAGGACAGATTGAAAGCGAGAGAAATTGCAGAAATCAACGCATAATCTAACTAGCGAGCTTGAGTAAATATAGGACTGAACAATTTTTATGAAGAACTACCGTAATTCCCCATGTATAATACGCCTTCATCGATAATACGCACACCTAAAATTGTGTTGAAAGTATGGCAAAATGCTTCTACTGGCGCATAATACGCCCGCATTGTTTGGTAATAAAACCCTATAAATTGTAGTGATTTTCCAAGCGTTGCTCGGATGTGGCACAAGGCCGAAAGTAAGGGGCCCCCAGTGAGGATTGAACTCACTACACTGTCATAATTGTTCTAGCAAGACAAGCTTGCTAACCATCACACCACCTGTGCTCAAACCCTATAAATTGTATCTTTCCAATTTTATTACGGCCAGCGTTTCCTACACTCATTTAAAAAATGGTTTTAAACATAGAATAATATGATTCTAATTTAGTATTATGTTAATTCTTATTTTAATGTACGGCAAATTTTAAAGATTTTTTTTGTAGCTATGCATAATACGCCACCCTGATTTGGCTTATTATTTTTTAGAAAAAACATGCGTATTATACATGAAGAATTACGGTAAAAATGACAGGAAATTGTGGAGAGCCATGATCGCGAACGTCATGAAGGAACACGGCACATAGAAGAAGATTAACGACCTTGAGTAAATAGATGACAATAAAGAGTTTGGGAGATATGACAAAACGACTAAATTTATAAAGAGATATAAAGAATCGGAAATTGTGGAGGGCTATGATTAACATTGTTCTGAATGGACATGGCACATAAAATAAATAGTCTAGATAAACAATTTGGACCGGAAATAAAGAAATAGCTTCCTTCAAAGTTCCGGTCGGCACTTCCTATATTTTGTGGCCTGTTCCTCATAGATTGATTCCTTCCGACACCGTTTTTTTTTTCGGGTTCGTTTACCTTGGGAAAGGTATGAATCCACCTCTTCTCCACAACCATCAGCTATGTCGATTTTCTAAGCGTGGCTTAGATGTGGCAAAAGGCCGAAAATATTGCGTACTCAGTGTGGATCGAAATGACTACTCAGTTGTAAACGATCTGGCTAGACGAACTTGCTAACCCTGATATTTGATATGTTTCTTTTATATTTTATGGTAACAGAACTATATAAAAATAAATAAAAAGTAACAAAAATAGATAAATAAATAAATGAAAAATAAATAAAATATAAAAAAATATAGTGAAATATAAATAAAATGTAAAAAATAAATAAAATGTAAAAAAAATAAAGTGTAAAAAATAAATAAAGTAAAAGAATAAATAATGACCTGAAAAAAAATAAAGTGAAAAAATAAAAAAGTAAAAAAAAATAAAAATAAAAAAAAGAAAATAAATGAGTTGAATAGCAGCACTGACTGGGTCCTATAACCTTGAATGGCAATCAATCTACCGGAGAAAGAAACGGCAACCTACTGCGGGAAATCTTCTACCTAGTCAGTCATGAATCAAAAGAGACAGGGTCGCCTAAGTGTGTACCACGTATGGTACATGAATGACATTAACTCTTCTCTCCTCAGCTATGAGTTGCAGAGCAGGACTGACTGGGTCCTATAGCCTTGGATGGCAACCAGTCTACCGCAGAAAGAAACGGCAACCTACTGCGAGAAAATGTTCATGAATCGAAAGAGACACGATTGTTTGCCGTTTGTTTGTTTGTTTGTTTGGGTTTTATGGCATATCAACCACTGTGGGTTATTTAATGCCAAATCCAGTTTATATGAATTTTAAATGCCTATTTTGTATGGAATAAAAAACGTATAGCTGGCAACATTATTGTTTCAAAAACGTACTGCTGGCAACATTATTGTTTCAAAAACGGATAGCTGGCAACATTATTGTTTCAAAAACGTACAGCTGGCAACATTATTGTTTCAAAAACGCATAGCTGGCAACATTATAGTTCCAAAAACGGATAGCTGGCAACATTGTTTCAAGAACGATTGTTTGTCGTGTATAGCACTTAAATAATTTTGAACTGTCATGACTCTTGCTGGGAAAGCTAGTGAATTTCATTCTGGTCACCTTTTCCATTGTTTTGAATTCAGTCTTGACCTTCTACCAGACAAGTATCCCTACCAAGGCTATAGTACCCAGCCTGCCTTTCTGTTTTCCTCATAGCCGCAGGGAAGGAGATTAAATCGATTAATGCTTTCCCCAGGGGCATTAACGCGAAATCAACGCAACAATTTCAGACAGAATTTTAATTCGGCATTTCGATTCTATTTTCCGCGTAGATAACTTTTGCCGTCCGGTGATAATTAAATTTACCCCCATGTGCGATATAAACATCAACAATGACAACGACAACAAGGGGAACAGCATGCCGTGTCTCAACTGGTAAAGATGACTTTTTCAGGCTCTTCTTCTTCTACGTGCCGTGTCCTTTCAGGGCGTGGGCGAACATAGCTTACCAAAAATCCATGTCCGTTTAGTCCTTAGTATATATTGGCCTTTAGCTATCTCTCCAAATACCTATTATGTCAACTATTTACACAAGCTAGTTAGGTAGGTTATTCGTTGCTTTCCTCGGTCTATTTTCACTTCAGTATCTCCTGTGAGTGGCAAATTTTCCAAGCTTCCTTTCCTCACTAAATACCCTAGAAGTTTCAACAGTCTTTTCCTGATGCTAAGTATGTTCTTTTTGTTTCCATTTTCTCTAAAACTGCTCGGGTGTTCAGTCCATAATATTCTCAGCATCCTTTTGTATAATCACATTTCTGTTGTCTCAATTCTTCTTCAGCTGTGATTAGATTCCCCAATATTACTGCGTTTTGGGTAAGACGATAATCACTACGCATCCAGACTTGGGTTGCGAAACTACCTCCAGATTTCCCGAGGAACTGCGAAACAAAGTGTTATAAATTTTGTATACTCTCTTAGTTCTGGTTAATAATACTGTAAGGAAACACACTTGCTAACCATTACACCGCTCGAAGTGCTCACATGATTTACTAAGCGTAACATAGATGTGCCCGACGCCGAAAGTAAGTGGCACCCAGTGAGGATCGAGCTCTCTTTTCAGTAGCGCAGTTTAAAAACGATGTGAACTGAATCTCGAATATAACATTTTAATTACTTTTGGAGGATATTTAGCGACTTATTGCCTTGACTAAAGATTGTGTCTGTAAACTCATCTTCACATAATATTCAACACATACATCGTTAACGTCGTCCATATCCTTGTAAAATCCACGATAATGAGGCTTATAAACTTTCATTGATACGAGTTAATTTTCTTTGAGTCACCATTTCCAAATTATCCTCCAAGCAATTTTTTTTAAATTCTTACAATGTACAACTTACCGCGCTCCTGATTGCGCCTTCCAAAATTAAGTCAATATTCAACCAATCATATTCTTCCGAAGCAGCTACGAATTGTGGTGAAAAGAGGACTTAATTCGCTTCATCAAACCCTTGGTTCGTGAAAACGTCTTTTCTTCGCCTGCCATAAGTCAACAATTCGGTAATGAAGTTTCTCGATACTTAGGTCATCCACGAGGATTCAATAACCTCTTTTATCGTCTTAAGGAGATCCAAAAATTTACTGGTGAATCTTAAAATTAAGTAAAGTTAAGAAGCAAATTGGACCTCATTGGGAAAAAGGCATTCTCAGCGTTGCAGTGGTCAAGCAAGGAACAGGGAGGGACTAAATATGTCCACTGCATATATATATATATATATATATATATATATATATATATATAGTTTCCATTTATATTCTATAGAACTCAAAACCCCAAACACACACACACACACACACACACACACACACACACACACACATATATATATATATATATATATATATATATATATATTCGAAAATTATAACATAAATATGTTAAAAATCACTACAATAATAGCCATTTTTGTTTCAACACTTAAGACACCAGAAGTGTTGAAACAAAATGTCTATTTTTTGTAGTGATTTATGTTATATTTATGTTGTAATTTTCGAATAAATAATTATATTTGCTCTACTCTGTATTGAGCACTCTTTTAAGAATAGTATTTGTTGGTTATTGGAATTTATTTCTTCTACACCAATCCTGTACTTGTATATATATATATATATATATATATATATATATATATTGTGGGTGTAACTGCAAAATTCCCAAAATGTGTAACAGTAAAACTGTCAAATTGTTAGATTAATTTTTGAACCGTTGCACATTAGAAATGATTAAAGATATCTTAATGGAATTCTCTGAGGTTTTTGTAAGACTACTGGAATCTACTCGAGCCATAAGCATGTATAATTTCTCTCCCTGCTTAACAGAAGAATCGTAATGAAATCGACCATAAACGAAAATGACATGTTCATCCTTAATTTATCATAGGTAAGGATCGGAAGCTCCTGAAGGATTGAAAATCAATTTCATTTTCAAGTCTTTTTTCACTTCTTTTTAGACTGTCACAGCTGAAATTCCTCTCTCACGTTCCAAACGTCTTATGGATTGAGTTGCATTTCTTTAGGGCTAAGTTGAAATGGTGATCCCTATTCCTTTTGTGACCTCATGATCCCGTTTTTCTTCTCAACTGTTCCCTCTTTTTTTAAACTTATTCTTCGTTTTCTTGAGGTTTCTTGAATGGACGTTTAAGATGGAAGCCAGTGTATGAATGTTAGTACCATTATTGAAGACTGAATGATCTTTTCTTCTCACCTTTGCTTATTTAGGAAGACAGTGGGTCTGACACAAAACAATTTTAACCTGTTCTCTGTTCTAGTTGAATAACTATTGTGGTAAACTCTCCTACAGTAGAATGAACTCTTCCTCCTTTCATAAATACTAACAGCGAGACTTCCTAGCAAGAGTCGTTGGCAGTATCTGACTCTGTGCGACTTCTGTCGAACTCTCTGCTTTGGCAGAGAGGAACCCGGATGAGGCTTTGTCGAAGGATAAAGTTTCGTCCGGGGAGGTAGACAGATCCCGAACCCGCTTATGCAGGTCCAAAGGGGATATTTTTGGCCGAGCCTACGGGCTCGGAAAAACCCACGTTAAACTCGGCCTTGTGCCACATACATTCCTCGTGGGGAGATTGTTAAATATAGAGTCGTAGGCAGTCGGTTGAAAAAGCGGAGACGCAATGTTAACCTACCGTTCGGACGTCCACCTCTATCTGCTTATTACTAACACTCTTACTTTGTATATAGCTGTTATTTCAATACACTTGTTCAACCTACCTTCGTCTGCCGTGTTTTTCTTTCTGGTCTCTAAACAGGCCACAACAATAACTCGATTTCTCAGTGATTCTTAAGAAAAACCGTGTCAAGGTGGCTAAACATCTTATCTGAAAGCCTGAAAAAATAAATGTCAATTAGTTTATGGTTTTTTAGGTAATATTTTTCGGATTGGATAATTATGCTGTTACACGATTTGGACAATTGATATATATATATATATATATATATATATATATATATATATATATATATATATATATATATATATATAAAGTATATAATTGGTATACACGGAATGAATTCCAATAACCAACAATTACTATTCTTAAAATGGCTATTTTTGTAGTGATTTTATAACATACTTATGTTATAATTTTTTTATAAAATAATTCTATATATATATATATATATATATATATATATATATATATAATTTATTTATTTAAAAATATGATTCCAACTCGCTGTTGGAGGCGAGTTGGAATCATATTTTTAAATAAATAATTATATTAAATTTTTAAATAAATAATTATATTTATTTAAATAAATAATTATATTTATGCGCTACTTTTGTATCGAGCACTATTTTTTTAAAAATAATAATTAAAAATACGAAAGGAACTTTGGGTTATTTACCTAACCAGTTCCTTCCTATTTTCTATATATTTTCACACACACACACACACACACATATATATATATATATATATATATATATATATATATATATATATATAGATAGATAGATAGATAAAAAGGCTTAAACACTAATATTCCATAGTCATAATTTATTCCATTGGAATCGTAACTACGATCCAATTCATCAGACCTACAAATTCAAAAAAAGAAACAGAAAAACAACTCCGGAAATAAAAAAAATTTAGAGAGTCCCGTATATATATATATATATATATATATATATATATATATATATATATATATATATATATATATATGTGTGTGTGTGTGTGGAGTGTGTGTGTGTGTGGCTGTGTGTGTGTGTGTGTGTGTGTGTGTGTGTGTGTGTATGAAAAGCTTCTGAAACTTAAAAACACCGGTTCCCGTACGATCACTGAAGTTAAGCAACGTGGATCGTGTCCAGTATATACATGTGTGACCGCTTGCAAATATCAAGAGCCCAAAGCTGTAAAAAATGAATCACAAAAGACTTCCATCAACGGGAAAATTAATTAGTGGAATAAAGTGTAGCTTCGTGGATTAAAGACAGTAATTGATAGTTCAATCGCTCGACTGAGTCTAGACCGTAGAAACACTTAGCAGTAATAAATAATAAAAAGAGGAGTTATCTCCCCTAGATATAACCAGCGGAACAAAAAAAATTATCTACGTAGATTAAATAAAACTTTAGTTCGAAATTTCCTGTATTTTACCCGGATCGACATGCAATGGAAGAAGGCCGAGGGCACAAGAGTCGAAAGGTCTTTATAATAACAAGGACGTGGATATTAGAAAATACTTCAATAACGTAAGTGATGATAAATCCTCATTCCAGAAATTTGAAAGAATTATCTTAGTATCGACTTTAAGTTTCGCAGATATCTATCTATCTATCTATCTATCTATCTATCTATCTATCTATCTATCTCTCATATCCACCACCTCCGTCTCCTCTTCCTCCTTATCCTCCTCCTCCTACTGCTGCTATCTATCTATCCTCCCCTACCCTCTCTTCAGCATCCAGCCCTCACCTATCTATATATCTATCATTTCCCTCATTTCTGAGCCAGCTCCTCATCCACCACCTCCGTCTCCACTTCCTCCTCATCCTTCTCCTCCTTCTCCTCCTCTTACTACTACTACTACCACTACTACTACTATCTATCTATCTATCTATCTAGCCTCCCCTTACTTCTCTTCATCATTCAGCCCTCCCTTATCTATCTATCTGTCTATCTATCTATCTATCTATATCACACTTTTCAAATCTATTTATCTATCAATCTCAATCTGTTTCTATCTATATTTCTTTCTTTGTTTCTTTATTTCTATCTATCTATCTATCTATCTATCTATCTCTGTTAATTTGAGTCTGTTCATATCTATTTATCTATCTGTCTTTTTAGTTCTATCTACCTAGCTAGCTATGTAGTGAATGGTCTATCAATATAAATGATCATTTAGTCCCACAAAAGTGAAAATTAAAGTAGCACCTTAACGACAACCTAAGAACATCTCTAATAGCACCAATGTCTTAATTTATCTACAACAATACGAACGAACGCGATTTCTACCGGCGTTCAGTGCTCATGAATCAGTTAAATTATGAAAGAGGCGACCGCTCAAACGACGACCAACTGCGAGCGAAGTCAGAGATGACTTCATCAGTTTCTATTGAATTTAAAATTCAGTTGATTATATGAAGGCAGCTCTGATTCGTTTAACGATACCTAACGCCAATCGAATAGATTCTTCTCCCTCTTCTTCTCTTTCTTCTTCTTCTTTTATCTTCTTCTTCTTTTTCTTCTTCTTCTTCTTCTTCTTTTTCTTCTTTTATCTTCTTCTTCTTCTTTTTCTTTTATCTTCTTCTTTTATCTTCTTTTTCTTCTTTTATCTTCTTCTTCTTCTTCTTCTTTTATCTTCTTCTTCTTCTTCTTCTTTTATCTTCTTCTTCTTCTCCCTCTTCTTCTTCTTCTTCTTTTATCTTCTTCTTCTTTTATCTTCTTCTTCTTTTATCTTCTTCTTCTTTTATCTTCTTCTTTTATCTTCTTCTTCTTCTTCTCCCTCTTCTTCTCTTTCTTCTTCTTCTTCTTCTTCTTCTTCTTCCTTCTTCTTCTTCTTCTTTCTATCACCCTTTCACAACATATGCAATCATGGATCCCCACAACTTCCCATCCTTTATTGCTCTTAGTAAAGATTGTCTTTTCGTTATCGTTCCCAATCCCGGTTCAACCATCAATGTTCACAAGCTCTTTAGAAAGGTTACTGGTAGCTTTCCGGCCCCAGCCCTGCCTCTGAGTAACCTATGAGCATCCGATTCTCCAAGCATTCTTTCCTCATTTTGTATCCTAGAAATTGCAACGGCCTCATTCTGATTCTAATTTTTATCGTTACTCACATGTTCACTTCCCTTTATCATTCCATAAAACAATATTTCTGTTCCCTCAAGTCTATTCTTCATCAGTGAGAAGATTTTCCAACATTCTCTGCCATAAAAAGTTCTGATATCACATAAGTGTCCCGTGCCCTTTGCTTTGTTTCTCTTATGGGCGTTTGGTGTCATTAATAGAAACTCGGAATCTAAAAGCAGAGAGCCGAGTTCGAATACCAGTCGAGCTCGTTGCATTCAATTACGCGCATATAAAGAGTGTTTCATTAAGACGGATTATATATAAGGGTGTTTCATTAAGACGGATCAAAGTCAGCAGTAAGTAAATCAGTGTTATTGGTGATTTTTTTTTATTTCTCTATTGTTATTTAAGTCATGGCAATTATATGTGAAAATTAATATCACCCAAATGTCCGCCAAGTCTTCGGCGGCACACCTCCACTCGATGGTCTAAATTTTTCATGACGTCTCTGCATAGTTGCTACACGATCTCACCAATATGCCTTATTATCTCATCCTTCAGCTGTTCAATTGTTGTTGGCTTGTTAGCATAGACCTTACTTTTGAGATGACCCCAAAGGAAGAAATCTAAAGGGGTCAAGTTGCCCGTTCGTGGTGGCTAATTGACTTTGCTGTTTCGAGAGATGATGCAACCTGGCAACTTCTCATTGCATTTCTGTTTGAACGTCCATTTTCGTAATAGGCTTTGATACCTTTATTAATTTCTTTAATTGTTAATTTTTCGATGATAGAAATTGCCAAAGATTTAAGTTGTTAAATGTGAAAGAAAAAGAAAAAATCATTAGACGCTTAAACTTCATTCGCATGTAAAATCGTTCCAAGTTATTCGAACACCCTTTATCTCTAAGAAAGGTATCTATTCATATTATCCCCCTAGCTAAGGGTTAAATAATAGGATGTGAGTCTTGAAAAATCAGAGTAATTCGTAGGGAATGTGTAAATCCAATAATCAATAACAAAAAAAAGAAATATATTTACAATCCAAAAAATATATTTCAACTATAACACATAAAAGGTTGATAAACTGTAAAAACAAAATCAATCAATATTTGTTTCTCACGAAATTTACCTGTTTCTTAATTCCTACATATCAGAATAAAGAGCATTAGTATTTGTACGCATGACATATTTTTATATCGTATCTCTCAAGGAAGTACAAGATCATGGGTCTCCTCAGCTTCTTTCTTTCATATCTGTGAGTTACCGTGACACTACGAGGAAAGTATGGAATGGTTTACCTTCTTAAAATTTAATGTTTTCCTTTTCCTAGACTGGTTGCAATTCAAGGCTCGAGAGTTGGTATTGATATTTAATATTTATTAACCTGATATTTATTTACTTAGCTTCAGGAGAAATAAAGAAGGAATTGGTTCATGCCTTTCACAAGAATATTAATATGATTTGAATGTAAAAGGATTCGAAATAAATAAAAAATGCCAGTATATAACGAACAAAAGCTTGTCAACCACACCGAAATCACATAGTTCTTAATAATGACTGAAGTGGGCAAATATACACGAATAAAACACATTACCTTTGTACATTATTTACATTATTCGGACTATTATCCTCATCTTTGTCGCCATATTTATTATAACGTTTCGGTTGTACACTCCAGCCTTCTTCAGGTTATTGGAATCTCGAACTGAACCCTTTATTTCGCTCCCTGGGGTAGAGTGTTCTAGTTCCACGTGTCATGTTTTAATGGATGTCAGTTATAAGTTATCTCCTGTTAATTTCCCTCTGAAAAGAGGGAAAATTAACAAGAGATAAATAAATATTAAATAATGTAATAATAAATAATAAATAATGTAAATAATGGAATTAAGTTCAGAGGGAAAATTAGCAGGAGATAACTGATAACTGACATCCATTAAAACACGGCATGTGGAACTAGAACAGTCTACCCCAGTGAGCGAAATAAAGGTTTCACTTCGACATTCCAACCACCTGGAGAAGGCCGGAGCGTACAACGGTCGAAATGTTTAATAAATATAGCGACAAAGATGAGGACAATATTCCGAATAATGTAAATAGTGTACATAATACCTCATCTCAAAAATATAGACAGATACTGAAGAAGGCCGGGGCTACAACGGCCGAAACGTTGTGATAAATATGACGACAAAGATGAGGGCAATAGTCTGAATAATGTAAATAATACCTCATCTCAGAAATATAGACAGATACCTTTGTACAGTTTATATATATATATATATATATATATATATATATATATATATATATATATATATATATATATATATATATATATATATATATATATATATAAAAGTCCAAAATGGGGAAAAGTACATTAAAAAAATAAACAATATATTTTGTCGGTTGGATTTAATAAAATATTTACGCTACTCGGACTGTTGTCTCCATCTTTATTGCCATATCCACGACTTTTCGGCCGTTGCACGTTCCGGCTTTTTTCAAGTGACTGGAATTTCGAACTGAACCCTTTATTTCGTCCACCGGGGTAGATTGTTCTAGTTCCACGCGCTATGCCTTTTCCAGATGTCTCAGATATCTCCCTTTACCTCAACACGTCAAGTTTTTGTTCACCACTGCAGTGGCCAGGTATTGAACTCACAACCCTTTGGGTCAAGCCATTGGATCCAACCAACGCTTTTATCCACTGGGCCATGTGTCCTAGAATTCGGCAATAAAGATGAGTACACAAGAGTCTGAACAATGTAAATAATGTATATATTGACAATGCCTCATCTCAGATTTATATATAGATATTAATAAAATATATTTAAATACGCATAAATCGCCAGATGTCGTTGTGGAACTGGTATGTAGAAACTATCGCTAAAGATGGTGGAAACAAGATCGGTTGTTGAACCACTCGATAAACTACATAACTTCTAATATCATGCTCTATATTTACAACAGTCCGATCATACCAAAAATGGAGTACTGCTGCCATATCCGGGCTGGAGCTGCCCAATCCTCTCTTTCCAGCCTGGATAGAGTCCTTCTGCCATGCTTCATCATTACAAGGGTCATATTAGACCAAAAATGGAGTACTGCTGCTATATCTGGGCTAGAGCTGCCCAATCCTCTCTTTCCAGCCTGGATAGTCCTTCTGCCATGCTTCATCATTACAAGGGTCATATTAGACCAAAATGGAGTACTGCTGCTATATCTGGGCTAGAGCTGCCCAATCCTCTCTTTCCAGCCTGGATAGAGTCCTTCTGCCAAGCTTCATCATTACAAGGGTCATATTAGACCAAAAATGGAGTACTGCTGCTATATCTGGGCTAGAGCTGCCCAATCCTCTCTTTCCAGCCTGGATAGAGTCCTTCTGCCATGCTTCATCATTACAAGGGTCATATTAGACCAAAAATGGAGTACTGCTGCTATATCTGGGCTAGAGCTGCCCAATCCTCTCTTTCCAGCCTCGACAGACTACTAAAGCGTTAACTCGGCCTTTTGGGCGATGAATAATTTTCAGGCTACAACCACTTCCCCACAGACTGAACGTTGCTAGTATCTCGCTACACTATCGTTATTTCCATGTCAGATCTTCAGACGTGCTGCATTCTTTAGTCCCACTAGTTCAGACCTTCACTTTTAAAATCCGACATGTCACATACACTGAATCGATTTTGAATTATCTTCGTATTTTAATGATTACTGAATACTTCCATCTCTCCCCAAGAACTGCTTACTTAGTAGAACAGACTCCGGGTCGGATGCTTTCTGGACCATTACATTCTTAACCTTTTCAAGTTTAGGGTCGGCTATTATCTACATACCATCATGATATTGCATTTCTTACTTCTGTTTTTACCCTCTTGCAACTCAATTTAGAAACCTCAGCCTTCGGTGGATCTTTCTATTTTGTGAACAACAGTATGAATAATCTATATAAATCAAGTAAACGTGTTACTACCAGTCTAAACATACTTAAAGGATATAATAAATATCGCAAACACTTCTAAGATTTCTCTAACATTGCGCAAAATATATCGCAATGCATTTGCATCCATCTGCTATTTTAAACAAGATTTTCTACATGTGTTTATTTCGAATTTCATTCTGCCGTCAGTTTATTTAAATTCATCTCCAATCGAAAGAATTCTCGCCTTTGTTTATAAAAATTATCCCAAGAGTTTTTTGATTAAGATTCAAAATATGAAGTTAATTTCCTTTTCCATAGAGTAATAGAAATGCACATAACATTCCACTGTCTTTTTTTTCTTTTCCTTGCATTGCTCCGCTTCCTTCAAAATGGCTTAAGGTCAAAAGTTATGGTCCCCCTAATGCAGACCAAACGTACTAGTAATAGTCACAAGACAAGCAACATTGTCAGAATAAGGCAACAGCATCACCTGCAGAGACATTTGACTCAACCTAACAAATAAATGTTTACATACTCAAGTATATACGAACAATATTTATCTATTCCCAAACGAAAATACGCTTACAGACTCAAATAAAAAACAACCAATATATATATATATATATATATATATATATATATATATATATATATATATATATTTGAGTGTGGAGCTTATATATTATGTCATAAAAAACAATTTATACAAAGAATTAAATAGCAAAACATATACTCAACTGTCAATAAATAGCATAATTTAAGAAACATCTTTCGGTCTACACATATTTCGTCTTAGTGTTTGCTTATGCAGGGGAATATTGCGCCCTGAAGATGATAATTTGATAGTGTCGAAAGTACTTGGCATATGTCTTCCATCTGGCAATAACTCGAATATAAGTATCTTATTATTCAAGGAGGTGATAATAAGTTAATGTCACATTAAGTTCTGTTAGCGATGTGATTTCGCCATTAATCATCTTAACATTGCTATTTAATTCTTTGTATAAATGGTTTCTTTATTTTTTTTTAAGCGTTTCACCCCAAGCAAGGCGGAAAGCCACTAGGACGCAAAGGGTTACAGAAGATTTGGAGCAAGATCAGATAGGAGTGATAGAGGAAAGGATGAGGAGAAGGCTAGTGGATAGATCAAGGCAACTGAAGATGTCGAGTGACATTACATTTGAATAATTGGAGATTATAGCTCTCAGGGAAACTGGAATAGGGAAGGGAGTTCCACAGGCGAGAGGTGCGAGACATGACGCTATTGGAGTAGAAGAGACGGCTACATTTAATAGTTTCGACAGTGAAAGATTGATAGCGGGATACCAGCCTAGTAGGGCGCTTGAACTCATGAAGTCTGGGAACCAGCGAATGCAGCTCCTCGGAGCAATTACCATGAAAGTATTTGTAAAAAAACAGAGAGAGGCGACGGCGCGTCTGTGAGAAAGTGACTGTAGACGAGATGCCAGAACAGGGCCAATTATATTGCATATCCGCCTCTGGAGCCTATCAAGAACCCCGAGGCAAACAGAAGGGGCTCCAGACCATATATGGCAGCAATACTCCATGCAAGAGCGAATTGTTGATTTGTAGATCTGGAGGATCGATTCCGGGGAGAAAAATTTCCTGGCGCGGCACAGGGAGACAACTTTCCTTGCGGTGGACGAAGCAATTGACTCAATGTATTTGTTCCATCTCAGGTCAGCAGTCAACGTGAGATCGAGAAGATATATATATATATATATATATATATATATATATATATATATATATATATATAGCATCAATTTAACTGTCCATTACATGACTGTGTTTTTTCTCATGAATACCTATAGGTAATACAACTACTTCCTTGACTAGACGCCTTACATGTCACCTATCTGACCAAAGTGCCATAAAAACGCACTTAACCACCACAATTTACAACAACACTTTAGGGAGATAATGGTCAATAATTCTAACATCCTATATGGGTCTTCACTCTTATCTTTATTTCTAATAACATTTTCCCAATTCTAAATACTTTCCTTTCGAGAAGGAAGGAAAACTGAGAATATTTTAAGCCTCTACGATTTCTTGACCTTCCTTCTATTATATGCCCATTGCCTTTAGATCTTGCATGATTATGGTCCTCCACAATTTCCTATCTTTTGTAGGTCTTAGTAACATTTCCCCTCTATCTTCGCTATTTTCATTGCCCTGCCATTGATTCACACAAAATCTTTAAGTATATTTACTCGTTGCTTCACTCTGCTTCTTTTCTTCATTACAATCTTTCCTTTTATGCGACCTTTGAATTTTATCTTTTTCCTTCAGATTGTAAGTATGTGTTTCCTTATAGTTCCTTATTTCTTTTACTGCCCTGGGTATGAAGATAAACCACATCCGGCAGCAAGGCTTCTGATCGGGACGTTTTGAGGAGCGTGGAACCACCTCTTAATTGCTGTTGTCCCCACGTCCACCTTGACCTGGGAAGGAAGCACCTGTTAGAGTGCCAGCTATGGGCAAATAGATAAACCCCGAGCCCGGAGTCAAAACACTATGAAAGATAAAAATAGATATTTATAGTAAAAATACCAGCAATACATTTTTGAAAAAAAAAAGAAGAAAAAAGCCAAATAATTACAACTATACATTTAACTCTAGGCAAAAACCATCTTTTCAAAATACAACAATGAAACCTGATGTACAAACGGATTTCTTACAAAGAATACTTATTCTATTCATACGAACCTATCCTAAAAAATCTTGTTAGTGTTGAAAAATCACGTGGTAGAGATAAACACTCAGTTGTGGAGAAAGCTAAGTGAATAATAATCCAACCTTTAGAAAGAGAGCTATTTATGTTGCCATGGAGCATCTCATTGTGCTAAAGTGGGATAGTCCATTGCTTGGGTTGTGATTGGCTGCTGGTACCTGAGAGTAGGTATTTCTATATAATTCATCAGTTAGTGTGCAGGGTTTGTATTAAGTTACAACCTGCTTTATTTTTGTCTGCCAGCTGGACGCTAGCTGGGACCTTTACGCCGGTAAGTGCTGTTTATTATTGTTATTCTACAGTTAGTATGAAATAACCCATTGAGGTTGATATGCCATAAAATAAAATAAACCCAAACCTTGATCTACAAAATGATTTTTACAAACAATACCTCTTATATTCATACGAAACTATCTTAAAACTCTTGTCGGCATTAAATAACCCTTTGAGGTTGATATACCGTAAAACAAAGCAAACCAAACCAATCATATATTTAAATGACGTAAAACAAAATAAATCCAAATCCTAATCTACCAACTGATTTCTTACAAAGAATATATATTCTATTCATACGAACCTATCCTAAAACTCTTGTCGGCATTAAATAACGCATTGAGGTTGATAAACCGTAAAACAAAATAAACCCAAACCTTGATTTACAAATTGATTTTATTTTTACCAGAATGCAGCGATATTTTAATCTCGGTATGACATAAGGTCAACAATTAGGCAAACGGGAGTAGAAATAATTTGTATGTCAATAATCTTCGTACCTGGAAAATTAGCAATCAAATCCTGTTTTTTGCGTTAGGCTCGAACCCTGATTATAGTGGCTTGTGGTAAATACGTCGCTCACTCAGCTAAAAGACAGGACAAGAAATATTTTTAAAGATTTATTGTAATTTAATGAAGAAACAGCCCTTTCTTGTAATATGCCAGTTTAGGGAAATTATTTGTATGAAGAGTTGAATTAAGAAATGTAAAAGAAATGTTTGCTTTAAAATATTCGCTCTTCAAGCAAAAGAAGAAGCAACCTTATTTCGACTTATTATTACTTGATCGTGGGTCTTCAGCTTGCAACAATTGATTCATTCTCTTGCAACTGCATTCTGAATTTCTCGCGCCTTATTTTGCAAATTCCTGCCCCAACGCGGGTCACTGTGGCGATGGCGGGAAAATGCTAAACGCTGTTCACAAACTGTTTAACAGGCATCAAACCTCTGAGCTGGTTAATATTTACAAATGGACGTAATTACCAGTACATGTCAGTTGGAAGGAAGGAAGGAAGGAAGGAAGGAAGGAAGGAAGGAAGGAAGGAAATAGAAATTGTAACAAAAAATACAAGAATAATATTTAAGGACAAGGGTTAACGAAAAAAAATACTCAGAAAAAAAGAAACAGTGGAGGAAGAGAAAACCAGAGAAACAAATAATTTTGAAGAAAAACACAATAGATAAGAAAGACACAAGCAAGCCAATGAAAGAAAGAAAGAAAGAAAGAAAGAAAAAGTGAGTCAAATTAAGAAAAAAATAAAGAAAATGAAACAAGAAAAGAAAGTGCGCCAAAGAAAGAAAAAAAAAGTAAGGCAAAGAAAGAAAGTGAGTAAAAAGAAGGGAAGAAAGAATTATGAAAGAAAGAAAGAAAGAAAGAAAGAAAGAAAGAAAGAAAGAAAGAAGAATTTGAACCAAAGAAAGAATGAGGGCCAAAGAAAGAAAGAAAGAGAGTCAAAGAAAGAAAGAAAGAAAGAAAGAAAAAGTGAGTCAAATTAAGAAAAAAATAAAGAAAATGAAACAAGAAAAGAAAGTGCGCCAAAGAAAGAAAAAAAAGTAAGGCAAAGAAAGAAAGTGAGTAAAAAGAAGGGAAGAAAGAATTATGAAAGAAAGAAAGAAAGAAAGAAAGAAAGAAAGAAAGAAGAATTTGAACCAAAGAAAGAATGGGGGCCAAAGAAAGAAAGAAAGAGAGTCAAAGAAAGAAAGAAAGAAAGAAAGAAAAAGTGAGTCAAATTAAGAAAAAAAGAAAGAAAGAAAGAAAGAAAGAAAGAATCAGAGGATAATGAAAAGAAAGAATCTAAAAAGAAGAGAAATTGACAGATGAAAAGGGTGGGACAGAAACATTGATAAATAGAAAAAAATGCAAATAAAAAAAAGAAAAAGTATAGAATACTGAAAGTAACTCTATAAAAAAGAAAGAAAAAAGACGAGAAAGTGAGAAGAAAAAATGAATGGGATGAAAAAGAAAACGAAAATTGGCAATCAGCACAAAGGAAGAGAAAATAATTTAAAAATGATTTTAAAAAGAAAAAAAGGAAAGAATAAACCTTAAAAATAAAAGCAATTCACTAAAACGGATAAAAGGCAAAGAAAAAGTAGAGTGCAGTATGGAAGGATGTTCGAAAGAAAACCTGGTAAAGAGTGACTATTGGGGAATGGGCCGAAGTATATGCTAATGAGTTAGGGTTAGGGTTAGGGAAAAGGTAAACGGAAGTTCTTTGTTTGAAAAGCTGACAATGTCCTCGTGTTCGAACCTCTTTGAATAGAAGCAAATGAATATCGACAATTGTTGAAGAAGTGTTGGTATTTAGAAAAGAGGAAGGGGGTGAAGGGATTCAAAGAGGTCTTGTAGAAAGAAAGAAAGAAAGAAAGAAAGCGAAGAAAGAAATAAAGAAAGAAAGAAAGAAAGGAAGCGAAGAAAAGAGTGAGAAAGAAGATACTCAACAAGAAAGTGAGCTGATAAGTAAGAGACAAAGAAATAAAGAAAGAAAGAAAAAAGAAAGACGTTAAGTGTATCACCCTCTCTCTGCCTTACTCATTCTTTCTCATTTCTTCTAACTGGCTGCAAGTGATTGCTCTCAACTTGCCTCAGGACAACTTGTTAATTAGCCTTCGCTCTTTTGGCCGCTTTAATTAAACACAAGTTTGTCTGTCAGTTAGAGATGCTAACATGGCCCTGCCTCGACATGGCTGTTCGATTTGCTACGGAGCAAATCGAATTGGACACCTGCCTTCTTTGGAAACGACGTCCATATTTCATAGTTTCTTCAACTTGCTAAACTTGTCAACCACAATGTTGCACTCTGATGAATTTATATCTCTCACACAAATTTTCCGTCGTGAGTAGCCTCAAAATTCACTATTTATTCCAGGCCAGGTAATAATTTTTAACGAAGCTACAAGTTACTCCATTTTTTAAAACGGATTTAATTACAAGAAAAAAGACAGGCGTTATTCATAGTTTTTTATGTATTTATTTTTATTTTTTATTTTTGCGAAGGTTTCACTACGTGGTTGTGTTGCATGAATAGTTTAGGAGATGCACTGGCTGGAGTAAAATAAATGGTCCAAGCTTCTGTTACCATAACCAACTGTATATATATATATATATATATATATATATATATATATATAGAGAGAGAGAGAGAGAGAGAGAGAGAGAGAGAGAGAGATCCAACAGTCAATGCCATCAGTTTTGAAAACAGCCACAATGCATTGACCGTGTTTGAAAAATAAAAAAATATCTCATCTCTATAGATATACATATATAAAAAATGAAAAAAAAATCGTTAATAATGGCTAATAGAATAACTGAAAGAGCTCAGATATATAAAACATTTGGACAGTTTTACACATTTTAGGTCCAGAAAAGAAAACGCTTATACGAAAACATGAAAAATTGAATGAAATATTTAATATCAAATACATAATTTTATATATATATATATATATATATATATATATATATATAATTATTTTAAAAATATGATTCCTTTGCTACATAAGAGTCCTCATTTTTCAAAAACGAGAGCCGAAAACCTCAATATAATTATTAAAATTAAATTGGATTAAAGTAACAAGCCCTGTTTCATCCCCAAGCGAAAATTTAGGAATAACCAATCTTGAAATTTACGCATCTTTATAAGCATGTTCATTCACAAAATTTTCTTTTACATATACTTGTGCGGTGTTACCTTTGCTCGGACTCGGCTTGCATTGCGGCCCGGCGACTGATTGATTTCGTCTACCTAAGATCAAATCACAATGTTCATTCGCAAAATTAGTTACTATGGAAACGGCTGGGGCGACCATTTTGATAAGAGGCTTAAGAGTTAATTTTTATCCACATATCAGTCACCTTCGAAAAGAGGTCGAGCCGAGGTAGGGTCGGGGTGTCCATTTGAAAGCGAATGATGGCATTCATGTACGCACAGCGAAAGATAGCTTTTGGCACCATAATATGTCGTTAATTGTCTAGAGAATTTTGTTTTATTTAATTTATTTATTTTTTCTTTGTATTTTTTCCTATTTGGCTGTTACGTACATAAACACATCGCACTGAACTAAAATTTCTTTTTTCGACGACTTCATAAAGGGTTTTTCTATCTTATGATTGGGTTAAGCTTTTAATCCTTTTATTAGACTATGAATTTTTTTTTAATTTTTTATTATGCTAATTATTTAATGCGAAATTTTCTCCTATTTTAGACATTAAGGACATCGGGCTATACAGGATGTCAGGCTCATATAAAATTAGAAAGATAATATATAGTGAATTCATAAAACTAAACTTAAAAACTACAGTCAATCCTAAATTAAGAAGGGTAAACTTCCTCGTCGTAACTCTAGACTTAATGAACAACATACCTTACAGAAAACCTAACACTAATCCCTTGTATCCCTAAGTCAAACCAACCTCCATCTATAATTAACCATATACCCACATCAATAGAGAAAAGAATCAGCATGAACTCCGCTAATAATGAAATATTCCAACAACACAGTAATTTTTATAACACAGCCCTAAAAAATATCGGATACAAAAACGCTAACATAAATTATAGTGTGACGTCACCCCGGGCCTCTCCGCGCCCGTGCTATCATGTGACGACCAATGTGACTTGGTATTGGTCGTCGCTGCACCAAATGTGACGTTCTAACCCTTGGCCGATTCAGATGGGAATCTGGTTAGATTCGGTATCAGCTTTGTCGTTCCCAGCTCGCCTCCAACGTCTGGTTACCGAAGTAACTGCTTTGATTTCTAGTCTAACCTACCCACGTTGTGATTTGATCTTAGGTAGACGAAATCAATCAGTCGCCGGACCGCAATGCAAGCTGAGTCCGAGCAAAGGTAACACCGCACAAGTATATGTAAAAGAAAATAAAGTAACAACTCGAAAGTTCAAATGTGTTAAAAAAAGAATAACAAATATTTTTATATCTCGTTTCTGAATACAGGACAGCGTCTTTCTCCCAATCCGCTTCTATAGATTCGTGACACTTTGTGTTTGTTGGGCGAGTCTTAATATCTTAAGTAGTTTTCCAATAACAGGTTTTTGGTATCTTCAGGCGATATTCGCAAAAATTGTTTTGGTGGTGTGAGTCTAAGTCGATTTTCAAAAATAAATTGTTCTTGGTTCGAAGTCGAAGTCGGGATGCGTGGATCTTCAGTCAGCTTCCTGTGAGGCTGGTCTCAGAGCTCACAGCTCAACTCTGTCTGCGTCTGCGTCTCCTCGGAACTCTGTCGAACTCTCTAATTCTACTCGCTGCGACTCTGTTTATATGGACACCGACCAAAACTGGGTGTGAGCTTGTCATGGTTTGGGGTTCCTCGATAATTCTAAATCCGCAATAAGGATTTTCTTTGTTTTCGGACAGGAAAATTTATCCCTTTCCATTTTTGGAAGTCCATTACTTTTTGCTTTAGAGGGGTTCTTAAGGGTATCGTCCTCCCAAATTCTTCCTTTCTCATATTGGTATCTCAAACCAATCCCCTCAGAGGGCGTCAATTCTTCCTTTCTCATATTGGTATCTCACACCAATCCGCTCAGAGGGCGTCAACAGGTTTCCCTTCTCTCTCACAGTGGTATTTCACACCAATCCCCTCAGAGGAGTCAACAGGCCTCCCCTCCTCCTCATATGTTTAACATTATTGCTCAAAGGCAAAAAAACATTATCTTCTTTTTTTTCTTTTCTTTCTTTTTTTTTTCCGACACCAAACCCCTACGACTCGTAGTGTGGTCCTTAATCTCTATCTTAACCGAATGTCACCGGGACTTTATCAACGAGATTTTCGCCAGCGTCAAGTGGGTGGTTAACTGGACGCCTCCGAACTCTGTATCAAATTATCCATTCCTGGTAACAAACACTTATCATGGCCAGGTCTAACATAAAACAGGTGTTTTCCCAAAACCAAATGATATCTCCGAAAGATAGTTAATGGTTTATTCTTCCCTTTTCCTTGGGTGGCCCAACTGATGTTTTTCTCGGTCAGTACGTGACCTGATTACGATTATCTCCCAGCTTCTGTTTCGTAGGCCACTTGACAAATTTGAAATTTTCATTATTGCCATGGGCAGAGGGCTATCTTTTATTCGCCGCCTCGTAGCATAAATTAATTCGACAGATCCGAGATCTTACGAATTTCCTATCTTCTGCGAAAAAAATACTTTTCTTCGTAAATGAAAATAAAATCTTTACCACTTTTCTTTGTTAAAAAAAATAACATCGCTCAGTATGTCTTTTCGTGATAGCTTCTTATCGCCTTAATTATTTCAGCGTCTTCTCGCCTTAATTATTTCTCGCTTTTAATTTTCACGCGACCGCTAAATAGTGTCACAATAGAAACAATAGTACTAACCAGAAGAAGAACAGGAAAAAGAAAATCATTTGGTATACTCCTCCGTTCAACCAAATGATTAGTATTGAGCTAGGACATAAGTTCCTAGTTTTAATTGAAAAACACTTTCCTGCTAATAGCAGACTTAGCAAGATCTTTAATAAAAAACACTTTAAAATTAAGTTACAATTGCACTGAAAATCTAGAAAAAATCATAAAAAAAACAATAATATAATCCTGGAAAAACACGCATGCCAAAACAGTATAAATAAAAAATCCGGGAAAATAATACATAGAACAAGAACTTGTAAACCCATGCCTTTTATGCCTACATGAAAAACTACACATTATTAAGTTTCTAAATAATGAAAATTTATTAAAACATAGACATGAGTTAACGGTTTTTTGCCAACATCAACAAATTTTCGCATTAAATAATTAACATAAAAAAAAATTAAAAATGCTTATAATGATGCGTAAATTTCAAGATTGGTTATTTCTAAATTTTCGCTTGAGTATTAAACACGGTTTGATAATTTAACTCAATTTAATTTTAATAATTATACTGAGGTTTTCGGCTCTCGTTTTTGAAACATGAGAACTCTTATGTAGCGAAGGAATCATATTTCTTTAAAAAAATAATTCTAATTTAAGCTCTACTTCTGTATGGAGCACTGATTTTTGAAAAATAAAAACAAAAATACTAAAGAACTCCGGATTATTTACCTAATGTCTTCTTTCCTATTATTTACATATTTGCACACACACACACACACACACCCACACACACACACACACACACATATATATATATATATATATATATATATTATTCATTATTGTGTGAATTGTCATTTTTACATAAATCTACACTAACGTTTTCCTTCCGACGAAATGTTGGCTGAAAGTTTTCTAAAGAAAAAAAGTTTTCGTTCGTTTTTAAATTTGTATTTATGTTCTGTGGTATTAAAGTCTTGTTTAAACACACACACACACACACACACACACACACACACATACACACATATATATATATGTGTGTGTGTGTGTGTGTGTGTGTATATATATTAAATTAAATGCTTTGAAATGTAGATTTTATATATATATATATATATAT